ACAGCGACTCCTTATTCCTTAGTTCATTCTAGAAATAATTCTTCAAGAACAAAGGCACTATATTGAAACATAGTACTTCTTACCATCTAGAAACTAATAGACAAACCGAAGTTGTTAACAGATCTGTAGAAACATACCTTTGATGTCTGGCTAGCGACCACCCTCTTCAACGGTATAAATTTATGCATCTAGTTAAATATTGGTATAATACTTATTTCCATACGACAATACAGATGACTCTTTTCAAAGCATTGTATGGACGTGATCCTCCCAACATTCCAGATTACTTAGCTAGCACCGCTACGGAAGAATCCTTGGACATGTCTCAGCATAAACAGACGACAAGTTCTCACTCAGTTAAAGACACACTTAACAAAAAGAAGAGCTCAAATGGAAAAGCAGGCTAACGCAAAACGCAGATATTTTACCTTTAACGAAGGAGACTTTGTCTTGCTGAAACTCCAATTGTACCGCCAAACCACCGTGTTTCAACGTGTTTCGCAAAAATTGTCAAAACGTTATTTTAGACCATTCCAAATCATCAAGCGAGTGGGCTAGGTTGCGTACATGCTAGATCTACCATCATCTTCCCGTGTGCATCTGGTCTTCCATGTTTCGTTACTTAAACCGTACCATGATGAAAATCCAAGTCATAATTTTCATTCTCTCCCTTTGCTTGATAATCTTCCATTTTATGTTGATAAATATGTTATGAGTGTAACACAACAAGAAACGGTGCATGGTTATGAGAAGGAGTTAAAAAACAGAGCATTGGGTGTTGAGAGAAAGAATGGCGCAAAAAATTATTTAAGTCTTATATCTCAAAAGCTAAAAGAGAACCATTATGTAGTAGATCTGGATTCATGTCTTAGAAGTGCAAATCCTCCCTTGGATACGTGAAAATTTAATAAGCCTGCAACAGTTTCACGTGTTAATGAGCCCCGTACTTCAGTCTGAAATTCCAATCCTTCCCCCATATCTCACAACGGTCCATCTCTCAGCAAATCCTCATCAATAATTCAAATCCTTACTCAATCTAACCTTACATGTATTACCACCTTTCCAGTTGTTCCTAACCACTTTCCCACTTTCCAACTCTCACTACTACAAATAATACTTTTTATGAAGAATGTTTCACCTCAAACATACCAAACACCAAACTTATAGGTCATGGGAGCGACAAGTTTAATTTCTTTTAAAAAAATAATTTTTCTCTCCATAATATAGCAATAAGTGAGCGAGAACTCTTCTAGAAAAAAATATTAAACATAATACCTCATTGTTTTTAAAAACCGTGGTAACATTGCTATCAAGGAATATGCTTCGAATCCCAGTAACAACATTTAAGATTTTTTTCAGTGATTCTCGCTTAGCACCTTCCAATCTTCCCTTTTTTTTTCTTAGTTAATTTTTTTTTCATTTTTTTCTTTTTAATTAGTAATTCTCAAAAAAAAATTGTTATCAATAAAAACGAATAACTATTCCACATATTCAAATAGGACAACAAATAACTATTCCACATATTCAAATTTCTAACTCCACTCAACTTCAATAGTACCACTATTAACTATCCCTAACTTAGAGAAAAATTCAGAAAGAACTCTTCCATATGATATGAGGAAAGTCATTCCATTCCTAGAGATGATTACCATTTCCTTTAAATAATTAAAAATAGTAAGAGAAAGATTAACTAACATGTTCTTGGTAAGGAATAACAATAGATGTTTGTCATTCCTAGTTACTTCCATATCCTTTGTAGGAGTAGTCTCCTATTGGCGTTGTTGGATTTTCTGGACATTATCCTCTAGTATGTGATTTTAGTGGTGTAGTTTGTCCATGGCAGCGCACATTTATGCCATAACGTTGGAATCATTGCTACCCCGGTGCCTTCCAACATTGGGTGTTATGCTCTCCTAGCAACCATGATTGGGAACAATTAGGTCTATGAGTGAAAAAACTTGTGAGTATCGAGGTGGTGATGATAATGAAAGGTATGGCCCAGGATAGTTTAACCAGGGTCCCACGATAGACGCCACTATACTTGTTTAAAAGAACAAAATGTGTGGCACCCCTATGCTGGTAGGGGTGGCTAGAGGCCTTAGTGATTTTATGTAATTTAGGGATTGCTCACGGTGGTGAGAAACTCTATTTGATTGTGCTTTGTCTATAAAGGGAAATAGCAAACTCATGTGAGGTGAGAAGCTATGCATTCTCAGAGTATTTCGTGTGTATTTGAAGTTATCTATCCTCATGCTAGATATGAGGTATTTATAGGGGCTCATGGGATAGGATTTAAGGGAATCCTATGAAGTGGTAATCTCTCCACCTTTACTAGGGGAATCATTGAATGCCTCCTTTTTAGATAGTCACGTGCATGACTTCACACATGCATTTATAGATCAGATAATCATCATTATCCATGTTTACCCTTAGGAAGATACCCTACTACGTGAGGGTTATGCTTCAGGTGACACATTCTAGGGAGGGCTCCTGGCAAAGATAGGTGACACCCTGTTGTGGGCCCTCATAAATATATCATTAATACATCTTGTATAATGGAATTCGTGGGTTTAACCTTCTAAAAGCTCTCAAGCATTATTGGAGACTCTTAAGATTAGTTCTTGGGGGAAATATATATCACTTATTTAAGACCGAACCTCTATAAATCTCTCGTGTTATCTCTCTTCCCTTAAATCTTTTATTTTCCTCTTAATTTATTTATCGTGATTTCTCGCTGCTTACTCAAACATTTTTTACAAAATGTTTTTGAACTCTGATTTAGAAAATGATTTTCTTTTAAACTATTGTTTTTCAAACCTCCATAATCCATCCCCTCTTTTGTATGAAGTCACATGTTCAACGTTATTATCCTTTCTTAAGATGCTTGTTAAGGTTTGGAAGAAGTTTGTTATGATTCAGAGGTGTTTTTTCCAGGGAGGGGTAAAAGGGATTCTAAGATTCCATGGGTTTATTGTATGATGTGTGCAAACCAAATCGGAGAGGTGGGTTGAATAAGATTCCCACCAGGTTAAATCTATGGAATAAGATCTTTAAATGGTATGATGTGTCTCTTTTTAAGTTTTTTTTCGTTAGGTGAGTATCTAGGATAAGACATGCCTTATCCATGATTTAGAACTCTGTTGTTTAGTTGTTATCCCTATGAATGATATTGTCTTTAAAGACACATCAACTACAATGAAGAAAGGGGAAGAGCATCGTCCTTGCGTGGAAATTGGTATTTTGGTATGTCTGTGACAATCTCTTCTGCTTTCTCTATTTGTCTTGGTAATCCCATTTTCTGTTTGAGCCAATAATTGTTTGAAATTTTTTCCCTGATCCTTTAGTGCGGCGTTCTTAATGCTTTCTCTGTGTTTTCTTTTTCTATTGATGATGGTTCTTAAGGGTTAAATCTGATTTTTTTGTCTGATGGTGTTTCTTTGCTTTGTTTTATATTTTTGTGGTTGGTTGGGATAAACTAGTATCCTTGTTTGCTTATGTCCTTTTGTTGTTGTAGATTAGTATATTGCTCTTTGTTGTGGGAGTGGTTTGACCCAAGATCAATTATAATTTATACCTCACGTTCTTCACTCAAAAATAGGTAGAGTCGTGCATTTTATATATTAATTTTTCAATTGAAATTATTATTTTAAGTAAAAGTAAGACAAGATGACAACTAGGAGTGATAATAAGTTATGCATTCTCAAAGTATTTCGTGTGTATTTTATGTTATCTATCCTCATGCTAAGGATGAGGTCGAGTTAAATTTTGCCAAATTTGAGTCTGATCTACTAAAAAATTTAAAGTCTAAATCTGAACTATAATCTATCATATGCATATTTTTAAACATGAGTTTGACATATAATAAACTTAAAAGATTTTTTTATGACCTTAATTTACCCTTTAAACTAAATAGACTTACAAAAATCTATGTTATTCTAATTTAAAAAAATTTGACCTATGAATATATCTATATAGGCTAGATCATATATCTGTAAATTGATCATTCATATTCTCAACTTTAGTGACAAATTATACCATATTGGGAAAAAAATTATTTTTATATCTAAATTAAAACTTATTAATCTTAGTTCAATTTGTGCTAAGACAAAGAAAAAAGGTAACTGAAATTAGGCTAAATACTCCCCCTTAGGACCATCTTTGACCCAACTGGGCCACCAAAAGGCTGCACCTCCTTTCACATTGATTAGCCACTAAACCAAAAATAGTTATTTGATTGGCCAAAGACACCCATACAATCCATACATTAAATCCTCCCTTTAGGAGCGTCAAAGAAACAATATTCTAAAAATAAAAACACTAATTTTGTTTGTGTATAAATGGATATTTGAAAAAAATCTCTTTTATAAGAATTTAATTTCTATGTATTTGTATTATAAAGTTTTTATACACATAATCAATTAAATTAAATATAATAGATATTTCAAAAGTTATTTTAATAACGTAAATATAAAAATGTTACTATAATACAGTGATTTTATTGAAATCTTTCAACTACTAATATATATACAAATGATGTTGTTTATATAAAGGATAAAATAAGAAAAGAAACAATTCTCTTTTCATATAATATAAAAATATTTTATATTAAACTCTTTTCATATATATATATATATATATATATATATATATATATATATATATATATATATATATATATATATATATATATATATATATATATATATATATATATATATATATATATATATTGGCTCTTTTACAAACAAAAGAGACTATATGTCTAAAGTCATTTAACCTCTGATAAATGCATAAGCTAAGTTAAATTTCTAAAATAATTGTTAAAATTTTGAGATATTAGACTCTCGGTGTCACTAAATATACATTTATCATTCTCTAATCTCTATCATTACTCTCTCCATCTATCTAATAACCACTCTAAACTTTTGTGAGTACAAATAAAAACTCAAACGAAAATTCCCATAATTTTGTTACTGAATTTTCATTTTTGGATATAGAAAATGGGATCAAAGAGAGATTTCGCAGTGAATGTTTTGTCTCAATGGTTGAAGAAGAAATCAATGAAAGTGAAGATCTCTTTAGGGATTTTGCTTGCTTTATGTGTTTTGGTGGTTCTAAATTTTACTATCAGAGATCCAAGATATTTCTTTAGAGCCTCTGCAACAATCCATATTGTTGGCCTTATTGCTCTCATATACAAACTCTTTGCTCACAAATCATGTTCTGGTTAGTTTCATGTATCATCAATTCTCTTAATTTCTTTAGTGTATTTAATGCTACAAGGTTAAGAATTGTTTCTTTTGAATTTATATTTTTAGGTTTATCACTTAAGAGTCAAGAGCTCACAGCTGTATTTCTAATAACAAGAGTTGGTTGTAGTGCCTACTTGCATGCTAACGTACACACTGTGTTGGACATGATACTTCTCTTGTTGACAGTGTTGGTTATTTGGTTGATACGATTCAAGCTGAAGTCTTCCTATATCAAGGAGATTGACAACATGTGGTTATCTTTTTTGGTAAATATATTTACATCTTTTCTTTCTGTATAATTTTATATTATAGTTTAACAATTTTTTAATTTATTTGGGTAGTAAATGGGAAGGTCACTTGGCGAGCATGTATTCATTGAACTGATTTTATTTTTAAGATAATAGAATGACTCATCTGAGATACCCATTAACGAATCAAATTAGAGATACGTATAACAGATTCTGTAGGTGTAAGAACCGATGATCCTACTGACTCTTCTGTCAGAGTTCACTATATAAATACTCAAGATTTTGACCAATACAAAATTTAAACTTAATAATGAGATAAATAAAAGATTAAGTAAGTATGTATAGTCATTTGTTTGGTTCATCAATTGGTAGTTTCTAAAAACTAAAACCGAGAATCGAACCAAACCACCTCTATTATTATTGGTTTGGTTTAGTTTTTGAATCGAACAAAAAATAATCAGTTTATTTTCGGTTTGTTTTGGTTTGGGTAGTCGATTTAATTGATTTTTTCTTATCCACTTACACCCTTAGATGTACCTACAAGGTTAGCATTGTGACATGCAAGTGAGTATATTAAAGAGTATAGAGTATTCAAATTGTATTTGAAACTTTTTACCTGATTTTGGGTCATTTTCTCTCTCTCTCTCTCTCTCTCTATATATATATATATATATATATATATATATATATATATATATATATATATATATATATATATATATATATATATATATATATATGCGAGAAAAATAGCAGTTGTGCTATCTTTTAGCCTTGAAATGCAGAGGAGTCTGGGATGTGTCTAAGGCGTAAATCCCATATATAAATGTGTAAGATAGTCTCGTGGTAAGGAGAAGATTATAAAAACATAACTGTGTATCCAGACAAGAGCCTTCAGCCCGGAACATGCTATCTCCAAGTTGTTGGTCCAAGACAAATATGGTCGGTCGAGAAAACTTCCCCCACAAGCCCTTATGCTTGAGTAGTAAGGTGGGGGTTTAGAGAACTTCACCCTCGATGACCGACCACCCTTACTTTGTTTACATAGATAAAAGGTATTCACTTCAATTTCCTTAGGTTTTGGGGTTTCTCTATTTAGGAAGTCAAACGTCTACTCGGAGACGTTATTATTAAAATTCTTGGAAACTGGAATACTTGAGTGTTACGTGCAAGAGTTTCAGCCTTCGATAAGATATCTGTCACTTGGATCTTCTTTCCTCCTTCTTCTTAAGTGGTTATCTTTTTCTCTTTTGTCATATCGTCTTCCTGTATTCGAGAAAGTTGATGCACATTGGCTAAGAAATGACAGAATAATGTAAAAGGAAGCCAGAAGAATTCAACATCTCCATGGGAAGGTTCTCTATATTCTTCCGCCGTGTCTGTTTTTGCCAAGGAGGGCAACCTGGATAAAGTTTTTTGTGAAGTGAGGGAACAATCGCATTGGAGTTCCACCACCGCTACTGAAAAGGATAGAATATGTAGCGAGTATGACGATTACCAAGGGAAACAACTCACTAAAAATGCCATAAACTCTCTCGGAGTCTCGAAACCCTAACATAGGTCGGTCGGGGATCTTGGATGAAGAATTACCTTTGTTTTTATAGATGGTTATCATCTCATAAATTTTCCTTTTGACCGTCCCTTTAAAAAGGAGATTTTCCCTCGGTGCACCGCCAATAATGGAAGTGATATACAGGTGTTTTCCCTTGCTAGTTTCTTTTTTATTTCTGTTGGGACCAGCTTCAAGACCTTTGTAGGGGACTTGGTTTTTAGAGATTCTTCTTGAGATCACTTGCTACCCATGACATACTCGTACAGTCCCCCCTTTTTAATCAATAGTTCAATCGCATCCTTAAGTTGGACGCAACCGTTTGTGTTATGGTCGTGTCCTTTGTGGAAGTGGTAATACTTTGATTTATCTGTCCGGGCAGATTCTCAAACAGGGAAAGGAGGTTGGGTTCCTAATTTTTGGAACTCAATGTTAGGGCACTCCTAATAAATCTTATCCACGAAAGTACTCAAAGGTGTGTATTTTTTGCACCAACCATACATCACCCTGTCAACATCTTCATTCCGTAAACGAGACTCCTTCCCAAATAGGTGTTTGGAACTTGCGTTGGCAGCTGAGGTCGGGTTTTCAAAGCGAGTATTCAACTTCTCTTCCAACATTATGTATGATTGAGCCAGGTTCAATATCTTATAAGTCGTTTATAGATTCTTCTTTCCTAGTTTGGTGTGGAAATGATGATCACAAAGAAAGCCATTTTTGAAGATCCAACATTAAAGTGGTTCGTTGGTTCTCTCTACTTCCACCGCAACTTGAGTGAATCGATCAATGTATGATCATAGACTATTCTTCACTCATTGCATGATGCTTCTCAAGACAACTATAGTAATTGGTTTCCTCTTTTGGGTAGTAAAATAAGCGGTGAGCCGATCGCATAAGTCCTTATATGATTCAATGCAACCGTCGAGGAAACTGTTGAACCAAGTCTACCTGATCCAACCTGAGTTACTGTAAGTAGCTTGCATTTGGTAGCTTCATCAAGATTATAGTAGTTGAATTGGTCATTGACAAGCTTAACTTGCTCGTCGGGGTCTCCTTTTCCATTATATTATCCCAATTTTGGAGACATTTTCATAAACTTGGGGATTTTGCTTTCTAAGATCCGAGCACGTAAGGGATGCTTAGGTTTCACCCTTATCGGATGGTGTTCACCGCGATCTAGGTACAGAGCATGACTACTTTTGTCACCGCTTAGGATCCCGGTAGGAGAATTGTATTTTCCTCCTTTTGAACGGTTTTCTTACTTTTCAAAATTGCTTCCCCTTGCAGTGGTTAGCTCTGAACCGATGGAATGGTTTCTTCCAGATGCGGCCTCTTAAACCATGTTAGCTCAAAGTTGAGTGTGGTGGGGGATTTATTCTAAACGCTGGAACTTTCCTCCATCTCCTTGAATTTTCGTTACTGAAAGATGTTGTAAATTCCATTGAGAAACTCATTTGTGACTTGAGCTCCTAGGTTCGCTTTAAGAATGTTGAAACCGTGCAACATCTTAGGTTGCTCAACATGAAGAGGAGTTGGAACCCCAATCCTCGGTGCTTGTAGAAGTCTTGTTCCCAGAGAAGGAAGGATCAAATCTGGATGCATAGAAACCTCATTCTCGAGATTCATTTTTCCAGGAGGAGGATGATTCTTGTTTTGTTAATTGACAGTTGTATGTCCTAGACCAGCAGCAGATAAAGTAGTTTTGCGTGTGATGGAGGAAATAATAGCTCTAGATCCAGACATTTCCAAAGATCAAGAAAATCAGACATATGGGAGTCCGAAGATCTGAAGAATTTGTGATTTATAATCAGCGAAGAATTTGAAATGATCGAATGCGACTGAGTTTTGTGCTCGATTTTCTAGATCTCCATTCAAGGGTTAAAGAGAACTTCAGTCCGAAAGACTGAATGCGGAGATAGAGAGTCGTAGAAAATGCGAGAATCAAAATTTTCTTCCCACATACGATGCAAGTGTTCCTGTTCAGAACCATAAATAAAGAAAAATGTGGAAGCTGCGACGAAGTAGAACTTCTGATGTGGCAGAGTAGATGTGTGCTTGGAAGGTTAACACTCCGACGCCAAAATTAGTATATGAAAGAGTAATGAGTATTCAAATTGTGTTTGGAATTTATTACCTGATTTGGCGCCACTCCATATATATATATATATATATATATATATATATATATATATATATATATATATATATATATATATATATATATATATATATATATATATATATATATATATATATATATATATATATATATATATATATATATATAAACAAAGAGGATTGTAGGATGTGCATGAATCGTATATCCATTGTAGCAAGGTGTAGGATAGTCATGTAGTAAGGACAAGATTCTAGAAACATAACCGTGTCATCGGTTAAGAGACTTCTGCCTAAAATGGACTATCTCCAAGTGATCAGTTCAAGATAAATTTAGTTGACCCAAAATAATAAGTAATAATTAAATAATGTGTTTTATTTGAAATGGATTATATTTAAAATAATGTGTTTTATAATCAATAATATTTAATTTATTTTAAATATATTAAATATAGATAATATGTTAAATAATGTGTTTAGAAGTTAGAAAATATTAAAATAATATTTAAATATTAAGCATAATATTTTTTAAAGATTATGCTATTTATGATATGAAAAATGCTATTTCTACACCCTTTTTTACACCCAATACTTACACCGTATGCACTATTCACCGTATTTATACGGTGAACAGTGTTTTTTTTATTAAAATAATATTATTTTTTAAAATATTATTTTTTTAAAAAAAAATATTTTTTTTTAATATTTATTTTATAACACAAATATAAGATTGCGCATTAACCAACTTCACAGTTGCATTAACCACAAAAATCTACATTATTAGCCAATTATTTTAACTATAATTTATTAACCACTTTCACTACTTCATTAACCAATAAAATACACACTATTAACCATGTTCTGGAGAATTTGTTCAAGTATTTGTGAACAGTAATTGAGGTGTAGGGTGTAGAAATGGGTGTCAAAATAGCAAAGCTGTTATGATATATGTTCTCGTTGTCACCATTGATATATGTGTTCATGGGATACTTTTCATGTATATTTATATTTATAAACACACTTCATATATTGTAATTTGATTTAGGAAAAATAAAAAAAAAATTTATTAAAAAACTTGACTACACTAAATAGATGGTGGTGGAGCGAGAATTACCGAATCCGAATTCGTTTAAGACGAGTTTGAATTTTAATTATCCATCTCCGATAAAAATTTAAGGGATCTAATTTGAATTTGGAGAAATAAAAATTTGTCGCTGATCTATTTTGTTGTCATGCCTAATCTTCACAAATTGTTGTCATATACTCATATATATCTCACTCTTTAAAGCACTAAATGTCGATGTGAAGATATGTTCCAAATAAAAAAGCCATTCATCTCTATTAATTTAATTTTCTCTAAAAAAAAAATCTATTTAGTAATATTTTA